TCATCCTTCCCCTGTAGTTAGGATCTTGATCAGCAAGAACTTGTTTATTACTCAGCCTTCATCCCTCCCCTGTAGTTAGGATCTTGATCAGCAAGAACTTGTTTATTACTCAGCCTTCATCCCTCCCCTGTAGTTAGGATCTTGATTAGCAAGAACTTGTTTATTACTCAGCCTTCATCCCTCCCCTGTAGTTAGGATCTTGATCAGCAAGAACTTGTTTTATTACTCAGCCTTCATCCCTCCCCTGTAGTTAAGATCACTTTTTTATTACTCAGCCTTCATCCTTTTTATCTTGATGATTGTATGTATTTGTCCAAGGATGCTGTCTAATTGACCTTTATGTGACCTTTACCTAACAGCACCTTTTGTTTACAGTTGACAATTGGTTTCAGTATTGTGTTGGTTCACACTTATTATCTAGTCTATCAATAATTCCCTGGGGTCACATCTAAACTTTTTTAATTTTAGAAGCAGAATTGCTTTCCTACGACTATCTGAAATCTGACATTTCAAATTTGTTGTTAATTGTGTACTTTTCTGACTTTGCCTTTAAATGGTAAACAGTACGATTAGTTGTGTCAATTAGGTTTATGTAAGATTTACTACATCATAAAATTCACAGCATGTCTAAACCTAGCTTGTCAACTAAGGCTTATGCTATCAGTCATAAAAACATATTGCAATATTCCTGTGAATATTAAAGACAAAATCAGATTCGGATCCAACAGAAAATATGGTCAATAATCTGTGATTGGTAGTCTTGTCAGTAATCAAATGCAGATTATCTTTAGTTTATTGCTTTTTTAAATCTTATTTATTGATAAATTTAAAAGGTTAAGAAAAAATTTAAAATGACAGTTAGCTAGGGTTGCACTCCTTCTCCTTTTTCTTCAGGAAACCGACATGGCTGCCATTATTGAAACTCAACATAGAGATAAGGCAGTAATATTGATCAGTTTCTTTGCAATTACACAGCCTATTAAAACCCAAAGTTCCTGAAAGGATTATCTAGCTATCAACCTTTCTTAGGCTGTTAGTTTTCTTGTTTGAATTGTTTTACATTTGTCATTTCGAGGCCATTGATAGCTGACTATTGGGTATGGGCTTTGCTCATTGTTGAAGGCTGTACAGTGACCTATATTTGTTAATTTCTGTGTCATTTGGTCTCTTGCGGAGAGTTGTCTAATTGGCAATCATACCACATCTTCTTATTTTTATATGTTCTCCAACCTTAGTATATCCCCCTAGCTATCAACCTTTCTTAATTGTGTAAAAGGAACATGCTCTCCAACCTTAGTATGTCCCCCTAGCTATCAACCTTTCTTAATTGTGTTAAAGGAACATGTTCTCCAACCTTAGTATGTCCCCTTAGCTATCAACCTTTCTTAATTGTGTTAGAGGAACATGTTCTCCAACCTTAGTATGCCCCCTAGCTATCAACCTTTCTTAATTATGTTAGAGGAACATGTTCTCCAACCTTAGTATGTCCCCCTAGCTTTCAACCTTTCTTAATTGTGTAAAAGGACAATAACTGCTGAGCTAAATTTCCATTTGCTTGTTCCAAGTAAGGAACCCTGCCATGTCCTGTCTGTGTTTTTGTTAGATGTTTTTCTGTTTTGTATAGATCTGATGAGTTAAGCCTTTTTCTACTGATTTTGATAGTTTGTTCTTATGTTGTGATGTGACACCACTGTCCCATAGTAGGGGGGGAGGGTTGAGTGCTCACAATCATATTTAACCCTGCCACATTCCTTATATGCCTGTGGACCAAGTCAGGAGCATTTTATTCAGTGGTTGTCCTTGGTTCATGTCTGTCATACCTGTTTTTCGTAAATTGTTTTGTTATAAATTAGGCTGTTAGTTTTATTCAATTGAATTGTTTCATATTTTTATAGCCGACTATTGTGTTTTTCTCATTGTTGAAGGCAGTATGGTTGCCTATAATTGCTTACATCCACTTAATTTGAACTCGGTTGGATAGTTGTCTCATTGGCAATCATACCACATCTCTTTATTTTCATACTAATCATAAGTTGTCATATAATTTAATAGTTTTTGTTATTTGAAAAGAGTGGTGTTAAAGGCAGATCATTGAATGCTTCTGTTAAACAACTTTTATAGACTCTGAACATCTTATGTTTTTATATTGTCATTGGGTTGCTGTCTTATTGACATGTTTGCTTATTTTGCCTCATAGGAATAAGCAAAGTGTGACTATATATAAGTCCCCAAAATATATTAAAATGACAATTCAGGATGAAGAGAAGCACATGTTTACTAAAAAAGGTTACAATGCTTGTATGTTAACAACAGTTAAGTTGGAAAACACAATCTTTGGCAATAAGAACAATGATTAAACAGGATTTTATTATGTATGCTGGAAATGGGTGTTCTTTTCCTTAATTATGTGGTATGTGTTCAAATATGATGTATTTTAAGGATAATGAATACATCGTAATTGTGTACTTTTTATTTAATTCATAACTATATTTTGATATCCAATCTAAAATAAAACAATATATAATATTTGAACTTAACATAAAAATTGTAATTTTATCAAAAAAGCAACAGCTAGAAAATTTGAAAAGTAACGAAGAGGATTTTCAACATCAATGCACACAGTCTGCTCAAACAGACAGATCAGATGATCTTATGAATGGAAAAACTGAAATTATTTTGTTACTTGGTTTCCTTGGTAACTGATTATAAAAGTGTATCAATATATTACTGTGATTATTGTGTTATGGCTTACATCCAGATAAAGGTTTGGTTGTACTATGGTAGGGACATCCAGGATCTCATTATCACTTAGCTAATAAAAAAACATCCTATATGAAAAAGATGCCCACAAGAAAAGGGTTATATTTAAATTTTACATGTGACTTGTTTCATTTAGAGAAAAGCATTGATGTCAGAGTTAATGATAAAGAAATATTTAAAATTGTGGTTAACATTGTACAGACTTTCTTAATCAAAATCCTGTGTAGAGCCCCTTGATTGCTGTTCAGTATACCAATATAGGTACACTCTATCCAACATGTAAATTGAATCATATGTGACAATTATATTATCTCCTCATCAAACTTCAATGATGCTGCAGACAGACACTTCACCAGCTTATAGATTGATATTCAGTCTGTATAAGATACACCAAGATATTAGGGTTAATGCAAACGGAGAGATTTCAATAATTCAGGAGGGGGTCTTTCAGCATTTATTGACATCTTTGTGTAAATTACTATTTGAATGACACCCAAGTTAAAAATCAACTGTTTAATGTATATATATATGCCAAATTAGGGTTTTGATATAAAAATAATAAGATGTGATATGATTGCCAATCACACAACTCTTGACCAGAGACCAAATGACTTTGAATTTTAACAACTATAGGTCACTATATGTCCTTCAACAATGAGATAATTTCATACCTCATAGTAAGCTATAACAGGCCCCAAAATGACAAATGTAAAACATTTAAATGAGAAAAAACTAACAGCCTGATTTATGTACAAAACAAAAACAAAAAACAAATATGATTTGACCCTCATTTTTCACTGAACATGGAAATGCAATGGGTCAAAGTTTTCATTTAAGGTAGTTTGGGGTCACCTAAACATGATACTTAGTACTCATGTTTATTATTAAGTGAACTGGTTAATATATATGCAAAATTAAGGTTTTGTCAAAGATAATATGTTTTCCCAGAACATGGAAATGTGATACTGTACTAGTTGTGAGCTCAAGCATGTGTCAAAGATAATATGTTTTCCCAGAACATGAAAATGTGATACTGTACTAGCTGTGAACTCAGACACGTGTCCTTTAAGTGGACACGTATTCATGTTTTCCCAGAACATGGAAATGTGATACTGTACTAGCTGTGAACTCAGGCATGTGTCAAAGATAATATGTTTTCCCAGAACATGGAAATGTGATACTGTACTAGCTGTGAACTCAGACACGTGTCCTTTAAGTGGACACGTATTCATGTTTTCCCAGAACATGGAAATGTGATACTGTACTAGCTGTGAACTCATTCATGTTTTCCCAGAACATGGAAATGTGATACTGTACTACCTGTGAACTCAGGCATGTGTCCTTAGTGGACAGGTATTCATTTTTTCCCAGAACATGGAAATGTAATACTGTACTAGCTGTAACTCAGGCATGTGTCCTTAGTGGACACGTATTCATGTTTTCCCAGAACATGGAAATGTGATAATGCACGTACTAGCTGTAACTCAGGCATGTGTCCTTAGTGGACACTTATTCATGTTTTCCCAGAACATGAAAATGTGATACTGTACTAGCTGTGAACTCAGGCATGTATCCTGAGTGGACACGTATTCATGTTTTCCCAGAACATGGAAATGTGATACTGTACTAGCTGTAACTCAGGCATGTGTCCTTAGTGGACACGTATTCATGTTTTCCCAGAACATGAAAATGTGATACTGTACTACCTGTGAAATCAGGCATGTGTCCTTAGTGGACACATATTCATGTTTTCCCAGAACATGGAAATGTGATACTGTACTAGCTGTGAACTCAGGCATGTGTCCTTAGTGGACACTATATAAATAACACATAGCTGAGAGGGTGATAGAGCAGATTGTTACCCCGAGAAAACATTGTCAACTGAGGTGAAGCCAAGGTTGACAATGTCTTTTCAAGAGGTAACAATCTGGTCTATCACCCTCTCAGATATGTGTTATTCAATTTATTATACTGAATGTTCTGTTATTACTGTCTATTAAATTTCAAATTCAAAGTAATAAACTATGTCGTCTTGTACATAACAATCATCCATATTTATTAAAGCGCACACTTGAGCAAGCGTCTCCGTGAAGGGTAATAGAGTATTTGCCATGGGATAGAGTAAATTGTCTCCCTTGTAACCAATCAAAATCTGGCATTTTGACATGAAGTATAATAAATATTCTTTTTGATTTATTCTATGGAATATTGTTAATTGTATTTTCCTTTTTTAATTTCAGGAAAGAGTAGAATATATTTTCCTTGTAATATTCACTTTAGAAGCCATAATGAAGATAATAGCATATGGTTTTGCATTACATTCGGGTGCATACCTACGGAATGGCTGGAACATTCTAGATTTTATTATTGTAGTTATAGGGTAAGTAAGGGAGATAACCTGTCAGTATATGTTTATTTGTAATGCTTCTGCAACTTTTGCATACAATAATGTAATGCTTTCTTGTGGACAATTAATTGTATGTCTTGTCAACATTTCTAACAAATATTTTTTCTAACTTTTTTTCATCTAAAAATGCAATTCATTGTATTATTTTTTTTCTCTAAAATATTCTTGCCAAGTCCAATCATATAATTATTTTAACTCATCAGACAATGATTTGTTCCTATGGAATTTTATATGATTGTTTATATGCATTTTTACATCAAAATCAATTATTTCAAGCCAAGATATAAACAATAGTCAAATGATAGCCAAAAATTCATTGAATACATTGAACAAAGAAGGTAATGACAAATGTATTTAAAATTCTGGTGTTTAATATGGGCCATTTATAAAATAAGTTTTATTTTTTTTTATAATTATTATTTAAAAAAAAAAATTGGACCTTCTTTTATTTGTAAAAAATAGCAATGCTTTAGCACTTGTGTTGACTTTAATGCTTCAGGTTTACATGGTGAAGATGGCAACATTACGTTAAATCCTGGCATTGTCACATGTTATCACATGTTCTTATCATTACATACTGTTAAAAGAGAAAGTTCTGTTACATATATTCACATATCACATTTGAAAGTTTTACCTTTAATGATGAGCCCAAATTTAAATTCTCTATTCTGTTGTGAACTTTATGTATCGGATATTTAAATTTTTTACAGTGGTTTTGGTTGGATGTAGAATTTTTTTAGAGTTAACTTTTCAACATAAAAAAAAAAATTGTTCGGTGGCTTTGCCTTTGAATGCCTGTTTATAAGAAAAGATACATGTTTTTTTTATATGAAGTCAAAAGATTAATCTCTAAAAGTTCACAAAATTATAAGGATAAGGTCTGCTGTTTTAACAGTGTGTAATACAAGGATTTATTATTATGTTGATAAAATTAGTATTAAATCCAAACTATATTTTATTAGTCTTTTCACGGTAGTTATAATGTGAGTACAATATATGATTATTTGAGCATGCCATAAGTCATCGTAATTTTGTCGACTTCCCTGGCGCTTTCATCATTGTCGTGTAAAAGCTGTGAAACAGTTGCTAAGAAATAAGTTATATAGACTGTTACACATATAGCTTATATGACACACAAGTTTGTTGATACACTAGTAAAGCACTCACTTATAGTCACCTGAAAGTCATTTCTGACAAACCTTTGATGTGGCTTTGCCTCAAAAGATTTGAAATTTTTTTTTAGAAAATTTTACTTCAAACTATTAAAGCACTTCAGCTAAGTTCAAAGAATCGGGAAGATGAAAAGGTCATTTGCGTCCATGCATTAGAATTCAAAATCCAAGACATCAAGCTATATTTTAAATTCATAAAATAGATTATGTTGTACGCAGAGTGTTGTTTTTGTAGAGTAGATGTTTCTGCAGTGTTTTGTTTTGTACTGCTGTTAAGTGAACCTAAATAGGATAAAAAATATAATGCTATTCATATATAGTCTATTGAAATTTTACAAAATCGTTTTATAGTTGTAGTTCAGTTTCATGCAGAAAATATTTGTATTGTTTCAGTTTTGAGTCAATACACTTTTTAAATACATTATTATTGAAAAATGAGCATTGATCCACAAAACCAAAAAAAAAAAAAACATTAAGTAGAAGTTATGTAACATACGATATTGTGCTGTATTATCTCCAGCATAGGTGTAGAAATACGATATTATGCTGTATTATCTCCAGCGTAGGTATAGACATACGATATTGTGCTGTATTATCTCCAGCGTAGGTGTAGACATACGATAGTTTGCTGTATTATCTCCAGCGTAGGTGTAGACATACGATATTGTGCTGTATTATCTCCAGCGTAGGTGTAGACATACGATATTGTGCTGTATTATCTCCAGCATAGGTGTAGACATACGATATTGTGCTGTATTATCTCCAGCGTAGGTGTAGACATACGATATTGTGCTGTATTATCTCCAGCGTAGGTATAGACATACGATATTGTGCTGTATTATCTCCAGCGTAGGTGTAGACATTCGATATTGTGCTGTATTATCTCCAGCGTAGGTGTAGACATACGATATTGTGCTGTATTATCTCCAGCATAGGTGTAGACATACTATATTGTGCTGTATTATCTCCAGCGTAGGTGTGTAATACGATAATGTGCTGTATTATCTCCAGCGTAGGTGTAGACATTCGATATTGTGCTGTATTATCTCCAGCGTAGGTGTAGACATACGATATTGTGCTGTATTATCTCCAGCATAGGTGTAGACATACTATATTGTGCTGTATTATCTCCAGCGTAGGTGTGTAATACGATAATGTGCTGTATTATCTCCGGTGTAGGTGTAGACATACGATATTGTGCTGTATTATCTCCAGCGTAGGTGTAGACATACGATATTGTGCTGTATTATCTCCAGCATAGGTGTAGAAATTGGTCTTATACTTTGTAGAGACAGTACCGTAGAAAGGCTTGTATAGTCCGCGGTTTTATTCTCCAAAATTGGACCTTCCAGACGGGGTGCGGACTATAGAGTACAATAAGCAAGAAATAAGAGAAAAATTTCAATTTCGAAGGCGAGGTGGTTTGTTTACGTTCCGCCAACTTGTTAATCACCTTGTGGTTGGCCAGGGAAGTCTCTCATATTTATGGTTATTAGTACCCTAGCGACGAAGTCGAAGGGGACTTTAGGTTTGCACTCTGTCCATCTGTCTGTTTGTCCATCCGTCAGTCCGGCAAATCAGTTTTCCACACTTTTTTCTTCGTCCTTGAAGATATTGATTTGATATTTAGTGTATTGTTTTATCATGACAAGTTACAGATCAAGTTTGAATTTAGTTCCTGTCCGATGATTTTGTGCAGAGTTATGGTCCTTGGACTTAGAAAATTCACTCAAATAATCAGTTTCCACACTTTTTTTCGTCATGCTTGAAGATATTTATTTGATAATTGATATATAGTTTTATCATGACAAGTTAAAGATCAAGTTCGAATTTTGTTCAGGTCTGATGATTTTGTGCAGAGTTATGGTCCTTGGACATAGAAAATTCACTTAAATAGTCAGTTTTCCACATTTCTTTTCATCATGCTTGAAGATATTGACTTGATATTTGTTATATAGTTAACACCATGACAAGTTATAGATCAAGTTAGCATTTTATTCCATTTCTATGAATTTTTAACCGGTAGGGACTATGAATTGCCATGCAATACTCTCAGAATGCTTGTTTATTTGAGGTTTGAATTCTGAGCAGACCTCATAGTGATGTATGAAAATAAAACTCATTAAAAATATAAACCCAAAGATATTAAAAGAAGTGTTAGATTATCAGTTCAAATTTTTTTATATCTGACAACATCATATTTTAGCGGCAGTTAATTCACTTTGTACTTCTTTATCTTTATCCTAAAAAAATTAAAACAGTAATATGTTTCTGCCTTTGATGCTGTCTTGTCATATTTGTCGCTGACTAGGGTCAACATACCTGAACTTTGACCAACAGATTATACTTCTGCTTGGGTAAATATCCTTTAGTAATAAGTGAATCAATATTATTATTCAATTTGTAAAGTAAAATCATGCACAGATTTTTAACATATTTCAGCTATCTTTTGTAAAATGCTTTTGCTGAAAACCAAAATATTAAAACAATTACGTATAATTTGTTCAGAAAAATCTAAATTAGTTGGCTTAGATAGCACTAAAGTAATTTGTTTTAAACACTCTCATGACCTTACCCATACCCTTTGGAGATCATATGTTATAAAATAGACAATAAATTCCGGCACTATATTTAAAAATGTGGAATGATTGTCAATATGAACACCAAATGACGTAGAAGTCAGCAACTATAGGTCACCGTACGATCTTCAACAATGAGCAACACCCATAATGCACAGACTCTGAATTAATTGAACAATAAATTGAACAAATGAAATAGATGGCGCCTGAATGATGTTAAAATTCTACTATAAAGGTAGTCATAGTTGTTGGTCTGATACAGCTTCTCAAGAAAACACCACACATGACATGGATGATCTCGCACATCTTCTCAATAATTGTACAATTTTGAAAAAACAGTTTTTAGGTATTTTTTTAAAACTGATATTTGTGAGGGTTTATATTTATCAAAAACAAATGTGACGTCAGTAAGTTGTCATGGAGACATTTTGTGTCTTGATCATTCATTAGAAATAATGGTGAATATGTGTTTTTTTTTAACTTGACCTAGAGGTTGATAGTAAAAAATGTAAAAGACATTAAGACCCAGGTATTACATGTACCTGTATACTTTTGTTATTTCACAGAACTAGTTGATAATTGTAATGTGATGTGTACTTTTTATTTACCACAGTGTTAGATATAGATAAATCCCTGGATGTGTTTGTGTCTCTATATTGTATGGAATTATTTCATTGATATATATTTTTATTGTTTTTACATGTATAATTTGATTTTTTGTTGAGAATGATCACTAGGACAACCTATGTTTGATATCTTGTATTTAAAGCATTGTTTATTAGGGTCTTTTTAAAAAAAAAAATGTCTTTGATGTTCTGCATCACAAAGCAGGAGTAAAACATTCCTAAGCACCTTGGTTGGGAAAAGTTGGATCACGCTTTGCTTACAAGGATCTGATGAAGCTTAATTCCTCTTCCTGTTTGATAAGTCATGCCTCCAAATGAAATTTTTGCCTCCAAATTTTTGATGGTATGTCTGTCCCTTTACAACAAATGATCGAGGAAGTTCTGAGGAACCCCAAAATGTTCTTAGAACACAAATCAAAACATGTTAGATCCCTAAAACCAAAGCATTGACTCACAATGTGTATTTCAATCATGTTGAATTTTGAGTGATGCTATTCAGAAATGTTTGTGATGATTTTATTATTGCAAAATATTGTGATAGGGTAGGGTTTGCAAAAATAAAAACTCACATTTCAAGTTTTGACAGCATTATTGGCTGGCCCGACTGTCATACACTGTTAAATATTCGGATGCAGCGTTCCCCGGTATCGTAATGATTCTCACATTTGAAGTTTTGACAGGAATATTTGGATGCAGGATTCCCTGGTATCGTAATGATTAATCTCACACTTTAGTTTATTTTTCAACAATCGTAATAACAATGCAGGCAAAAATTTCTGAATTAACAGTACTGACTGTGGGCATTATCTGACTGATGAACAAATGTGTTACAACTCTTCACCTCATTTTATAACATAGGCCATTAATGTTGTACAAAATTATTTGATGCTTAGGGATGAACAGGCAATGCTCTTATCAAATGACCACTATGTCATCTTCAGGATAAATGGAGAGACATGCCTCTACCTGCAAAAAACTCATATACAGATACATTAAAAGCAGTAATCACAAAATGTTTTGCATCTAACTAAACAGTCAGAGAAATATGCTATTTATCATTAATCTTTTTTATTTCAGTTTATTTAGTATATTATTTAAAGAATTAAACCTTAAGGGTTTTGACGTCAAAGCCCTAAGAGCGTTTAGGGTGTTACGACCTTTACGTTTGGTATCAAGGGCACCTAGTAAGTAGGCATGCCAGGACAATTATTTACTTGCTTGTTTTGTGTCATTAATCTTGCATTGATTAAAACACTTTGATGATCAGAATCATTAGAACTTGTCATTTTTTGGTCATCATTATGTTTTTTGGGTGATTTTTATGGTATTTGATTAACTTCCATTTCAAACAAGGAAAAAATATTATTTGCATATAAGAGAGTATAATAAAGTTAACTAAGAGATGTGTGAGAACAAATTCTAAAAGAAAGCTATATTTTTTTGTAAATTCACTCAACAAACATCTTTTAGGAAATGTTTGAAAATACTTGATAAAGACAAAAAATAAAATAAAATCTATAACCTTAAAATTCAGGTATTTGAGGAACTGTTTTTCATGCTTTCTGCAGCAAATAATATTTTTTCATGAATTTGGATATTACCTCAAATTTGTGTATACCAGGTAGATAATTTGATTTATCAATAACACAGGTTTGCATGTTGTTTCTTTACAAATATTTTATTTTATGCAGTCTTACATAAATGACTAACATGTGCTTTTTAAAATATATTGTGGTGTGCATGTTATACTAATTGAATGGACTGGTTTTATTGCAGTATAATTAGCACTGTTTTCTCAACACTCAACTTCAATAACTTTGATGTAAAGGCCTTGCGGGCATTCAGGGTATTACGACCATTAAGACTTGTTTCTGGTGTTCCCAGTAAGTACCTTTGGTGTTGTCCATCATTGTTGTCACATTTTGTTTCAGTGTTAGAATTATTTTTAATTTGCATTTACGTAACTTTGTTTCTGTGAATTTGCTTTTTATATCACCTGGTCCAAGGTCAGTTATGAGCTATTCTCATCACCAGGCATTCAGTTGTCTTATTTTCCATTAATTTAATAAAAATCTTCTCCTAAAACTAAAGAGCCAATTGCATCCTAAGTTTGCCACAATCATTGTTTAAGAATTGTGTCTGATGAACCAGCTGACCACCCTTTTCAATAAATAGAACACTAGGATTAAATGCAAGTATTGTCTAATATCTTGAAAAACAATTACAGATGGATAAAACCTGGAAGGCCAAAAAATGTTCATAATGTGATGGTCTACCTGCTTTCCATTTTGACCAAAATTAACAACAACTTATTGGAGTTATTGCCCTTTGATGACAATTTAAATAATCAAATGTGTTTGGCTATGATATTGACAACTATAATTGATAGAGAGACACTTTGAATAGTAAAAGTGATCTAATTGAAATAAACTACAAATAATTCAACATAGCTAGGCAACTCTTTATAGTAGTTATTGCCCTTGAAGGACAATTTTTACAAATTTTTTTTTGGCAATTATCTCTAAATTATGATTGGAAGAGAGAAACTTTGGTCTAAAGGGCCAGTATAACATATTCTCATTAACTTGTTTTTGTCTTCTATATCATTTGTTAACTTTATAAAAATCTTCTCTCTTATATAGCCAATTGCAACCAAACTTTGCCACAATCATCTGTTTAACCATTAGTGTCTGGTGAACCCGCTGCCCAACCAACATGGCCACCATGGCCAAAAAATAGAACACAGGGGTTAAATGCAAATATTGTCTAATATCTTTATAAATTACAAATTGAGAAAATCTGGATGGCCAAAAATTTTCATAAAGTGATGGTCTACCTTAAGTGTCCATTTTGACAACTCCTTATTGGAGTTATTGCCCTTTAATGTCAATTTTTACGATCCTTTGATTGTTTGGGTATAAAATTGACAACTATAATTGAGATAAAGAAACTTTTAATAGCAAATATTGATCACGAAGACATAATCTACAAATAGGTCAACATGGCAAGACAACTATCTATAGTAGTTATTGCCCTTAAATGACTTTTTTTCACCAATTTTTTTTGTGTTTTTGGCAATTATTTTAAATCTATGATTGATAGAGGGAATTTGAAAAATAAAAATAATCAGCTAGACCAGATCTACATTTTTGTCAACAGGGACAAAATCATTAGACAACTTCTCAGGAATTATTGCGCTTAATTGACAATTATTTGTTATTTTTTTGGCTTTGTTGGCTATTGTAAGAAAAACTATAATCAATAGGCAGAATCTCAAAAATGCAAAAATTATCAGTAGGCCCACAAAACTTTCATTCAACACAAATATTCTAGTTTATGCAAATATGCCAAGTGGGCAATACAGGCTCCTTTGAACCTCTAGTTTTATATGGTTTTCACTCGTTTTAGATAAAGCTAATATGTCTCATATTAACACTTGGTGTTTTACACATAATAAATTTCAAATCTAGAAAACAATTTAGCTTTTTTCTTTCTGTGTATAATTTTAAGTATAGTTAATAATATGTCTCAAATTAAGGTGAACTCTGTTGGTGTTTTGAATGTCTTCTATCACAGAGTGGATAGTATTTTGGAATAATTCACTTTTATTTATTTCTATCAGTTTGTCCTTTCTTCAATTTGCCCTTTAAAATATATATGTGAAACTTTCAATTTTGTTCAAAGTTGATATAGTCATTTGTTTGATAATGTTTTAATGCTTATCTTAATCTTGCTCTGTGATGACAGTCGTTCTCCATTTTTTTAACATTCCACGAAAATAAGTACACTGGGAACAATAATGAATCCACAGTATTAAACTAATATTCTGACAAAGTGACTAAAGAATTTTTAGACTGGTCTTTTGAATATGCATATGGAAGAAACTAGCAAAAAGGTCTACATCCTCATCCAAAATAAGGCAGCTTTAACCTACTTTCCACGCTTCAATGACTATAAGATTATAAGGTGTATAGGCACCTCAATACTTACTTGTACATCTAATTTGATTTAAGTACCAAAGTAAAATTGTGTAATTCTTTTCCTATATGCACTAACATCTTTTTCCCACTTCAGAAGTTATCCACCCTTTATTGTATACATTGTCTGTCCTTGACTCAGAATATGGTCACTTAGTAGTGAAAACCAAGTCAGGCAAAACATTCTTACCAACCTCTCTATGGTTAGGAAATTATAGTGGTATACTAAGATTAATAGAAAAAATAGAAAAAAAAGTACAAACAAGACCTTAAAGAAAAAACCTAGACAAAACTAAACACAAAGAAGTTTCTTTCTGCTGAAGATTTTCAAGATAGTAAAAGGGATTTGATTTTCAAAAAATTATTTAATTTTAACTTTTTAGTTAGAAGGTTTGTCTAAAGAAATTGAGCTTTTTGTAAATTTTGCAATTAAAGGAAAGAACTAAAATAGATTTTGATTTATAATACAATAAGTAAGACGTTGATGACGTAAGATTGTCTGCTGTTTCATGTTTCTGTTATAATGTCCAGGGGAAATCAATAACTATAAATACAGTATTGTAAAAGTCCTTGATTTAGTATCACAAGAAATTATTTTCTCAGATCGTTATTTATATTTTTCTCAAATTTTGAATGGAAGAATAAGTTCAATGGATTATAAAGTACAAATAAAAGTTTTCTTTGACCAGGCAAACTTGGTCCAAATCACCTACTTGTCACTATCAAAGTTTTTCGTCAAAAGTCAGAACTTTGACCAGGTAAACTTGGTCCAAGTCACCTACTTGTCACTATCAAAGTTTTTTGTCAAAAGTCAGAACTTTGACCAGGCAAACTTGGTCCAAATCACCTACTTGTCACTAACAAAGTTTTTCGTCAAAAGTCAGAACTTTGACCTGGTAAACTTGGTCCAAGTCACCTACTTGTCACTATCAAAGTTTTTCGTCAAAAGTCAGAACTTTGACCAGGCAAACTTGGTCTAAGTCACCTACTTGTCACTATCAAAGTTTTTCATCAAAAGTGCGAAATTTGACTAGGTAAACTTGGTCCAAGTCACCTACTTGTCACTTTGACCAGCCAAACTTGGTCCAAGTCACCTACTTGTCACTTTCAAAGTTTTTCATCAAAAGTGAGAACTTTGACCAGGTAAACTTGGTCCAAGTCATCAGTTGTCACAGTTTATCATAAAAAACTTGGTTAAAGAAAAAAAATGCACTGTGAGTGGATAATTCCTGTCCAAGTCCATCCAAGTTTCAAGATAAATAGAATGAGATATTATTCTATCCAAGTTCGTCAAAGTTTTTGATCAAAGTTTTCTTTGACGTTTGTCAAGAAAACTTGTACAAGAAATCTTTGATAGTGACAACGGGCCTTTTCAACATTTGTATTAGGCATTAGTCAATATATAAACAATTTTGATTTTAAGTGTTTAATATGGAAAGGAAAACACTCAGACCTAAACATTGGAAACCATAAATTTGTACAGCATTAAAACAAATTGATTTCAAACCATAACTGGTAGTTCTGACTCTTGGAGTACTTCTGATTCCTGTGGTCTAAAATTCTAGTACACATTTTTAATATAGAACAAAAAATGTAGATAACTTGTGGTGACATATTGTTATTCCTCCGTTTCTTTTTTTTGTTATTATTATTTTTATACCTCCACTTTTTGACACAGGCATTCTGGGGACACTACTGGACAATGTTGATGAAACATCACCATAATCGGAAGCACCATATGTAGATGTGCAGTTACACTTTTGAACTTTTAAAATGGCCACCATTACCATGGAAACAGAACATTATTTTTTTTTGTTTTTGGTGAATGATTTGAGTATTCCTGAACTTAAAATCATCAAATTTATATACAACATAGGTATTCACTATATATGTAGGTTTTGGATGATTTTGAGAATCATATGAACTGTATTGCCATGGAAACCCTATGGGAAAAACCTTAAAGTAGCATTTCCTCTTTTAACATGGTAGGTCAAACCAAGTGAAACTTTAATGTTATGTTCCTTGTCTTGTTTCAATAAGGCAGATGTCTTTGGAATTTTGGAAATGGTTACCATGGAAACTGCTTCAAACTTATTGAAACTTCACACAATTGTTAATTGGCATTTGTAGATGTGGCATTTGACTGGAATTTCAAAATGGCCGACGTTGCCATGGAAACAACAAAAATGTGAATATTTTCAAAATGC